CTGACAGACAGACTTCAATCTCTGAACTCGTAAAGTTTTTCTTTTTTTAAATTTCACTGTCATTTTTCATGAATGAACACTTGTATCTGAGGTGGGAAACATAGTATGGTGTATTTGGGGTGGTAATTATGCTAATCTCCTCTCACGTGCACGAGCAGCTGGATAGAACAGGTGGAATTTACGCAGCTCATTTACACACTTTTCCTGAAGATAGAAGAGTTTGTTGAATCTGACGTGACATGTTCGTACGAACCCTTCATACGAACAAAAGTAAGAGAAATTTAGGATAAGAATACGAACATGTTCTTGCATGAGGCCCATTGAGAGTGAAAAACTGTTTCAAGGGAGTCCTGGCCAAGAGGCAGCAACAAACACAACACCTGCCAATCACAGCACAGAATCAAACAAAAGAACATATTTGAGTTCTCATACTTTCTGTGTCTCATCCTTCTTCTCTTGCTTCAGCGTGTCTGTTAGGTTCACCAGTTTATCCATAGCCTCCACCTGCACACACCCCAGTGTTTGCTTCTGAATCTTCATGTGACCATTGAATTAATGCAACTAGACCAATCATTAAAAAAATCTAAAAAATATGCAAAACTTTAACCAAACTTTTAATTGAACTGAAGGAGTCTTTTGTAGCAAATGGTGGATTAGACTGGGTTGGACTATCTAAATGAAATCACTATAACTTAGCTTAAATTATCTCAACTTAGACTCATTTTCAGATTTTTTTTGTCACAAAGCTGCTTCACTTTTTACCTGGGTCTGTTGTTGTGGTAAATGAGTGTGAAAGTCTAACCTGCTCTGAAACAGTGGGTTTCTGAATTAAACATCACACACGTCAATAGGCAACCTCTCAACCAATCAGTTTCCTTTAAAAAAATCTACAGATGCGTAAAAGTAGTTTTTTTTCCCTGGTGTTATCATTATGTTCTATTTTGAGAAATAACCATGAGAAGGAGCCTAGGCAGAAACRAATACTTGTGTTGTTTAAAACAGAAATTCATTGCTCTGTTTGTTCCTGATAWCTGTCCATGAACTAAGTTTATTTATTATAATAGACTCCTCTGCAGTTTAATTATAGAGAATGAAAGTGCAGAGCATATCATATTCATCAAACTGCCTGTCTGTGTTTGCATTTATTACCACAGAGATCGTACAAAATATTTAAAAGCCGATTAAAGTGTCTGCGACATCAAATTTTTGCAATAAAAATGAATACATTTTTGGAAAGGCAACATTAATAACATATTGCAAAACAAATTTTACACTGCTCAGATGAACAGTTGTTGAGATATTTGCATGTGAAGAAACAGGAAGTGATGTCAAAGGAGAATGTCTGCATGTGAACAGAGTGTTACTAAAATGGCTTAAAGTGCTGACTGGAAAGAAGAATTTGATGTTTCTTCAATTTATTTTGAGTCACTATCATAGAGAGATGAAAAAGAGTCGGAGTTCAAATAATATTGTTTCAATAAACAAAGACCAGAGAGTTTTCTTTCTGAAAGAGTTCCACTTTGATGTCACTTCCTGTTTCACTTTGGCTGAGCCAAGTTCAAAAGAAAATATGCCAGTTATGAGACAAAATGGGTAAAAAATGTGTGTATTATGCCAAGTTTCTTATAAAGATGTCTATGTTTACTTTTGCATTTGAAAAATATGCAGGTCACAGGTACTTTAAAAAACACAGGTTAACTGTAAAACTTTTAACGCAACATTATCAAGACTTGTAACCATTATTTCTCAGCGTTAGGATTAGTTGAGCAAAATCTGTTAAAGAAACCCTGGATTTGTTGGGTCTATTCTATTGTATACGGCCCTGCTGTGTAACTGTGTGAATTTATGAGTTCTCACTTGTCTGTTCAGGTGTTTCAGGTACATGCCACAGGCTCTGCAGAAAGCTTCCAGCAGTAAACCAAACCGCCTGCAAACCGTGTTATTGTGCATCTCTGACCTGTGAAAACACACCAGTCAAACCAAACATCAGCTTGTGGGCCGTTCTGTTTTGTTCCCTCTAAGGTTAACAGGAAGACGTTTACACTGACTTCAGGTGCCAGAAAAAGAAGTGTCCTATCCTCTGGTTGGTCAGAGCTTTCTTAATGAGGAATCGAGCAAGAGGGTTGTCCAGGTACATCTCATACTTTAAAACCTGCAGAGACACATATCATTTCACATATATGGWCCTATAAAAACAGAAGACAGGTGTGAAGATGTGGACACACCTGTACGAGCTGCAGCAGGTACTGTGACAGCTTGTCATCTGTCAGGCTTTGCACCAAGCAGCGCAGAGCGAACTCTCTGACCATCGGATCAGGAAARTTACAGTCCAGTAACTCCAGGGCCAACTCTGGTTCCATCAGGGGCCACTCCCTCAACAAACAGTACATCTGGGGAGGAGGCAGAGCACACAAGTTAGACACAAGACACATTGAAAGACAGAGAATTCATCCTGACTGTGATGTTGAGTTTCTACCTGTGAGACCTCGTCTCTGGAGTTCCATTTGACTGAAAGAAGAAGCTTAGGAAGAGACTCTGGCATGTTTATACAGTAATGTCTGCAGAGAGACGGACAGGTACAGACAGACAGACAGACAGGTAGGAAGAAATGGACAGGTAGAGAATAACAGAGAGAGACATACAAGTAGAGGAAAAAAAGTGGACATGCAGTAGATAAGTAACAGAGATACAATGGACAGGTAGAATGAAAAAATAAATCAGAGAAAGAAGCAAAAATGGGTAAAATTAATGCTACAAATAGATACAACCCCAAATACAAATGTTAGGACAAAAAAATGAAGACAGAAAACAAAAACGGAAATTATTTCATTTTGGCGACTTCTTTTACTGCAGACACCATTTGRTAATACTGATCCACAGTTTGGTTTTGGACTGCAACACTTTTCACAAAACAAGACCAACAAAAGTTTGGAACAGGGGGTCCAGTAAGTTAGTCCAGAAGCCCAGTAAACACTACAGGTGTAGGAAAATATTGATACACTGAAATATTGTTATATTTCATTTCCCAATACTGTATCAATTCTCTAAAGCCCTGCATTGATTTTTAATTAATGTTTAAAATGTAAACTTTCATGCCAATGGATAATTTTTAWGTTGTAGTTTAGCCTCCGACCACTAGTTGGCAGCAGTCATCCAGTCATTTGGCTCCTCCATTCCTGAGGAGCCAGAGAGTAAATAGTATCTCAAACCGTTGATATTTATTATGGTACTGGATGGTACGGAAGTGACCAAATTCAAGGACCAAATGAAACAGTTCAATGAAATGATTAGCATACTTGTGCTCCTCCCTTAAGTTGCCCTGTGACAGCCAACAACACAGACTGTAGCAGCTTTAAAACCTAAAAGCTGCCGCAAATATGTTATCAAACTATTTAATTTAGTTTAATAATTGAAAACATGGATGGAATAAGAAATATTAAATAAGTAAAATTCAAATAAAACACAGTTTTTTAAATTGAATTTTTGGACAAAAAATGACAATTACACTGCTCAGATACTGCGATACTGTAAGCCTTGCTTACAGTATCACAGTATTTCCAACGCATTCTCATGCCCCCCCGCGTCAACATATTGATGCTTGGTCAGGTAGCCGTCTGCGTCCACATTCGGACGCGCCGTGTACCCCCCGCGTGTCAGTTTTTTACAAGATGAGGCGGAGGAGGACGAGCGCATTGTCATATTTTTTTTTTACACGAGTAGGAAATGCGCAAAACTAACCATCCCAGACCCTAAATTTAACTTCTATTAGCCTTATACAGCCTATCCCTGACCCCCAGACCCTAAACTTAACCATAAAACCTGATCCCTCATATTAACCTTTTTTTTAAATGTAGAGAATTTGCGAGAACTAAACGTCCCAGAGCCTAAAATTAACCTATATTAGCTATATACAGCCTATCCCTGACCCCAGTACCTCAAATTAACCATTAATCCTGATCCCTCATATTAACCTCAGACCCCCGACCCAAAGACCCCTAAGTGACTCAACCCGGAAAAGCAGCGGGCAGCAAGGATGGACGCGTGGGAGGTACCTGATGCGTCAAAACTGGACGCAGACGGTCCCGTCATGAGAATGTGTCGATATATCACGATATATCGTATCGTGACTGTGTCATGATATATCGCCAAATTCTTGCCATTACACAGCCCCAGTAAACACAGTGATGCTATCTGTCAGAAGGTGACTCAAGCCAAAAGCAGTATCTTAATCAAATGAGTCTGAGGAGCAGAAATGTTCAGAGGAGCTGCAGTTTGACACCAAAATGTGTGAGAAAATAAATGAACTGAGTATAAACAAAATTCTCAAAAAAAAAAAAAAAAACTGGAAGGGATTTTCAGATTTCTTTTTGTATGGAGATTCGTCAGGAAGCCACACATCAAGATTTATCAACAGCTTATTGAACACAATGAACAAGCAATTACTTTAGGAAATGTGTGTCAAACTCTACAAAATGTCCAGTGAATTTAGTGTATTATTGGAATAACATTTATTATTAATAGCCTATATGCCACGGACATCCGGCYCAGCACTTGATGCCACTCTCAGTACTTCGGTTCACGGTCAACACAGTGTTAGTGAAAGATTTTTTCACCCGACAACGACTCTTAATGATCTCCACAGWACAGAATTAGCATATTACATGTACCAACATTAACACAGGAGACGTACAGGTCCAGCCAAGTGGAAAAAAATCACTCCAAAGTGGATTAAAGCCATRAAAACAAAGGAAAGACGTTTGTGTTTATGGATTCAGAATTTAGCCTTTTTCGCTATTCTGTGGCTGCTTGTTCCATGAATTTTTCCCATAGAGCTGTGACACTTATATTGTTGGAAAGAGCAGAGTCTAGGCTTTAAATCAATGGGCTACTTGTATGGTTTGGATCGTTTTCCCCGACGTTAGTGAACTGAAAACGTAATGATTATCAGGAGGAGGTTCTGCTGCTCTTGGTGCTCGGGGGGAGGAGGGGTTGTGCTCGTCACTCGGCTTTAGTCTACGCTGTAACATACACTCTAACAAGTTTTTACTTTWGCATAAAACTYRTGAAAAAGTCGCATAAAAACATTTCATATAACACTGTGGTGGAAGAATATCTTGACTCCCWAACTGCATGTTACCTTGACATGTCCTGTTCTGTATCTCTTGATAAACTGCCATTATATAATCTGTTTCTCATGACTCTTAAGATACTGTATGTACTCATGTAATCTTATGGCCTATTTACTTGTAACCATGTCATTGGTTTCCTGGATATCTCTGACGCTCTTATTTTGTTAGCAGGATGTATATATTGTCTGTTTCCCTGTTTCCGGGTCAGCGAGAGCTCGACAGACGYTTTGATTCGTGTCTGTCTGGCTCTGCTCATTCTTTGCATATGCACCTTTCTATTAAATAATCTGAGATCGAGACCACACAGTTTCCACTTTGTTTATTTCCCGCATCTCTGCCCTGGCGAAAAGGCTAGCCACGACAACACAAACGCGCACACACCTACCTTTGTACCGGCTGCTGTGTTAGCTTCCTCCTAGCTGTGAGGTGGTCTTTCCTCTTTCGTCTTGGCAGAAAAGGGGATAAATGTACATTTCCCTTTTGTAACCTCYRTCTTCTCATTTATGATGCTGACTCTTGAATATCCTCAGGTTAGAAATGCCGATTACAAACGCAAACGTGAGCTTTTAAAGATAAGTTTTACCTGTTACGATCCTCTGCTGTCACCTTTACACCTTTACTCGATCRTACCTGCTGCTTAGTGATCACAATGGCACACAACAGAACTCACRTTTTATACCAGTAGATCACAGATGCTTTAACTTCTGWGACTTTTTCACGGACTAGTACTAGGAGCTTACGCTAAAAACATAGGCAGWAAGCAGGGAGTGGAAGGGAGGGGCGTGGCAAGAATYTTACCRGAAATACGTCATTAATGACCRTGGCRTATAGGCTATTGTTAYGTATTCTGTTATGTAGTTAGTYGACACTTAGGAAAAGTTCACATACARTGGGGTGCGAAAGTTTGGGCAGCCTTGTCGACATAATCCAGCCAGGAAGAATTTAGTCAACAGCTCAAGGCCGTTGTAGGGGAGAGCCAGATTCTGTAATCAGTTGTTTTGGGAACAAAAGAGTCAGGCAGATGTTAACAATTTTCCATCTGCTTTAGTGTTCTGCTGGTGCATCTCAAGGTGGCGAATCCAATCAGGCAAATGGTGTGGACAAATTCTGCTGAGCTGATCTATCAGCTTTCTCCAAGATCAATTCCATCTGGCCAGCAAAGTCCAGAGACCACAGCCGGCCCGCGACCCTCAATAAAACTGCTTGTTGACCGAGTCCAGCTCGCTCAAGGCAAAATGTCATGGTGCTGATAGAATACGACCATCCATCCAGTTGGTCAGTCAGCCAGAAAATGAAAAGCCACCAACGCTGTTTTGTAGAACACCAGGAGACCACCAAGCCAATCTGCAGAATCCAGTGATCGGAATCCAGATATACTGTATATCCAGAACAGAGAAGAACAGAGGTCCCACCTGTAACATGTCCTCACATGGAAGAAGAAAAAACTTTGTTCCAAAATTTTTATTGAGAGACCAGCTAACCAAATCCATAAAAATAAAAATATCCATAATTTCTAGTTTCGGATGAAAAATGTAGAGAAGGCTCCTTGCAGCAAAGCAGGGAAGATAAGGAAGGGCAGGAGAGAAGGAAAAAGTCTCTTACTCCTCTGAGAGCGGAAACAAAAAAAAATTTAACAAGGCTAACCAAATTTTGCACCCCACYGCATGTGACAACACCACGTTTGCAGAAAGAAATGGATATAATAACCTGAAACTCTTAATCACTTGGTATCCTAATTTTTTATCATCTTAGAGTGGCAAACGCCTGTCTCAGTTCTTTTGTCTGCAACCATGTTTCCGTTCAATTTTAATGCAAATTTTAAGCGAACTTTTAAAATGTCACAACAAWAGAAATCCGAATCAGACSTGTTTCCATCTACTGGCTTGGAGCGAATCAACCAAGCTATGTAAAGTGTAATTACAAGTAATGCAATAAYGCAAGTAATGCAAGAAAGTAATGCAATTCTCTTCACGTTATGGGAATATCCAGGAGGACGTCGACAGCAGGAGAAAGTAGTAGTTGCAGTWACAATTGTTGGACAGCAGGAAGAGCTGATCAACCATGTGAGGCAAATGCTCACTACACCATAACTTTTCAGAAAATGTGTTTCCATCTCCCCTTTTGCACATTAACTCTTTTTCAGAAAATCCAAAATCCACCTCAAGCGAGTGTAAAGACTCTTTTGCAAAACTGAGGAAGTTTTTGCAAATTTTGCCGTTTCCATCCACCTTTTCTAATATGATACTTCAAAATGCACATTAAAATGTTGATGGAAGCACGGGTCTTTTCCTGTCCCCTGAACCGTCAACCAGTCAAACAGAGGATCACCTATCCTGATCCTGGTGCTGCTAAAGGTTTCTTTTGGTTAAAAATAAGTTGTTCCTCTCCACAGTCACTCATTTGGCAGTTTTCTTAGATAGACAACATTTTAATAAATGGTATTTTGGAATTATCAAGGTTGTATCATATTATTATTATTGTACTGAACTGACTGTAACTGAACTGAATCTGGATTTATTTTCAGATGAACTGGTCTGCAGGTCATTTTATGGAATTTAGACTTGTTGCTTTTTTTAATAAAATGATTTTACCTATGAACTGAACTTAATT